ACAGATTGCTTTAGTCTGGCTTAACTCTTCACTGATTGGTTGCACACACTTTAAATGTACTGGCTATGCAAAACAGAAGGTGGGGCTCATTATCATATTAAAAAAACGCGCGTTTTATACGCGTCAAAAACGCGCGTTTATTTGGTAAAAAAACGCGCGAAAAACGGGCGAATAGTGGCACTTTAGGCTTTCCATAGAGACTAGAGTGTCACGTTACTTCTCTCGCGGCATAGTTCACGGCATGGTAGGCGACGATCGACACGATTGGCTATTCAGTTAGTTCAGTCTTTGGCATAATCACACCTCATACAGAGCCTCGCAAAGTCAAGGGAAGTCTGCATTAGAGGTTCAAAAAGTCAACCACAGTGTGAGTCCTTGAGCTCTAGCCAGCTTCTCGATGGCAAATCCTTAAATATTTGCACCCTCAGCACGTCTGTTTATCATGAATTTGCATTGTAGGACAGAAGTGTCAATCAGCAGGGCGCTGAATAATTCAACAGCTTCTGTGTCATCTTTGAGTTTGCGCACTTGTCACTTCAGTGTGAAAACACTACATATTTAAACCTGCTTTGGAAATTAGTCAAATGTAGCGATGTTATATAGCAAGGTAAGTGTCTCCCTCTAGTGTACATGATGAGGTCAAGGAAGATTCACACTGCCTGATTTCCTTTCTGTGTCTTTGATTGAATTAGATATTAGTCACAATCTTGAGCTGTCAGAGGACATTAACAAGTTGTAGAAGGAACATCTTTGTCCCTACTGTTCATCCCACATGATGTGAATGCAGCATCACAGTATGCCTCGAATACCCTTTACAGAAATCCTTAAAGGGGCCATATTATGCTTATTTGTAGGTTTCATATTTGTATTTTGTGCCTCATCTATGAAATGTCTCCATGCTTTAATGAAAAGAGAAACTCCCCATGGAGGGAACTTCTTATTTATGCCTTTGCAGATCATTTGCATGCACAAAAACCTATATAACAGTTACGGAAAAAGGAAAAACTCCAAAGACCATAAAAGGGTCCCTTTGAAAATGAATTCACAGTAACTGATTGTATTAAATACATTTAAATTAAATTAGATCTGACACTGAATACATTTTAAAATATTCCTTAATTTGTTTAAGCGTTTTAATAAAACTATATAAATGTTTGCCTTTATAATTTCAAATGCAACATAAACTCAATCATTATCTCTAAAAAGTGCTCAGAGCATATTGATTTGGCAGAAGCTCTTTTAGCTACATTGCACGATGAATAAAGCATTACCGATCGGGCCTGCTTGTTTATTCAGTTTGTGTTTATTCCTGTATGCTATGTGTGTGGGTCTGAACTTAGCCATCACAGATAAGAAAAACACATTCAACTGATTTAAAACAGGAAAATTATGTGAGAAAATAAAATAAAAGGTAAGATGGCCGAGCCTCAGAGCTTGTTCAAATTTCCAGAGCAGCCAGTAGCGTCCATCTTTCCTGTTGCTGATATCCAACATCAATCACAAAAAACACCTTACCTTCATCTATCCTGACATGGATTCTATTTTTGGCCCCTTATTTTCTGACTAACTTGCTCCTGCACAGACACGTCACAAATACAGAAGACAGAAGGAAACTTAATTGAGGAGAGGCTCAAAGAAGAAGAGAAGTATGCACAATAATTGGTGTCAAAATAGCAAGTCATGGCATGGGCATATAAAGATAGAGTAAGAAGAGGAAATGCATTAATAGTGGAGATATGAGTAAGATGAGAGAAAATCAATAATAAGACTGAAGCATAAGATGAAGAAAGATAAAAAAAAGAGATCCATCTTTAATTTCCAGTTCTAAGTATTAAGGGTTTATTTAACTAAAGCCTGTGTTGATGTCTTTGTGCTAGAAAGACACACGCAGGAATAAAACATTTTAATGACGTAATTGTCAACATTGAAACTTGGAAGCTTACAATTAAAGGGCATGCACTGACGGGCTTTTATTCATAGGGCTTTCATTTAGGACAAGAAGGACAACTCTGCTGCAGTCTGTGAATTACAGGGTCATGGTCAGGACTCACACATGGAGATCCAGTGGAGAAACGGACAACATCTGATAGTAACAGATGTATAACTAATAGCCTTCACACGTTGTGACCTTCATTCAACATTTTAGCTCAGGATCAATGTTGTGGATGCTCTCTACACTTCCTGCTTTAATTTAGAACTGGATACAATTTTAAAGTTAACAAAAAATCTATACAAAATAATTTCATCCTCTCTGTGTGCCAGAATTATGTTTGTTAGGGTTCCTAACACATTGGCCTAACCCCTGCCCTTGTAAGCAAGTTGTGCATCCTTCACAATCTTTTCAAAGTATTAGGGAAGTTGATTCATAATAAAGGTCTAAGTCTTAGACATTAAGTGAGTTGTATTGGACACCTCATACTGGTAAAAAATACATGATTTTACTTGTTTACAAAGATTAAAATCACACATCTCTTGAAGCCGTAGCACTGTTTTAAACATATCTTAAGTTACTAAGTCAACATAAGCCTTTTTGGTGAACATGGACAAGTATAACAAATAACTGTTGGGTTTCCCTAATTAAAGGATTGTATGGGTATAGAATGGTGCAACAAGCATATGCAAATAGGTCTCTACTTGTATACATACAGTGTATGGTCTCTACAGCAGGCACCATTGTAGAAGTGCTTTTCCTGGTTTTTCATGCACTGCACCACGTCCACAATGCCAGGTAGAAACCTGTTCATGTGTGAGAAATATGGCTGATCCAAAAAACACCCAGATATGTATCAATAGTTCATGTCTGGGCATGGCACTGTTTAGAAAACCTAGATAGGAGAATTTAAAGTTAAAGTTAAATTGTTGGAGGAGCCTGTGACCTAAGATTTTCATCGTCATAATGTTCGTATGACCAATAAAAGCCTTGAACCTTGAACCTTAAAGAGTGAATAATTAGAAACAGCATTGATTACCATTACCAGACAGAAAATAGAAATGTACAAAACATACTCTATTGGCAATGTAATGAGGAACCCCGCATTCCATTTTAGGAAGAAAACATGGATCTGATTAAGCTGATTATTATAAGGAAATTGGCAGCCCTGAAGCAGACTGGAGACTGAAGAATGTTTTCATCACAAAACCAGGCATGTCCTTCTGCATTACATAATATAAAAGTCTGTTTACGTAACAAGGTTGGCTGCCACACTTGCCTGGAAAAGGTTGAAAAGCCACCTCTCCATTATTGTCTTCTCTGTCCATCACGTGTGTGCATGGCTCTGTGTCTCTGTGACTGCAGGTTAAAAGCATCCTTGAACTTTATACAGCTATATCTCTGTCAATTGTACTGCCAATGAAAAGAAAAACAACTAATGGAAAGGCTGAAGGTATTGCTGTTGTGTAGGTGTAATTGTGTAATGAAGTCATGGGGGTGAAGTTTAATCATGAACAAACATGCTCCATTTATTTGGGTTTCATGTTTTTTTCTCAGGTTAACAACATTGAATATGGAGATATCTATTGTATATCAGCTTGAACATATCTTGGAAATCATCAAGGTTCATAATCAAATCAGTTTTCTACATATTTATTAGAAAAATCCAATAATTAATTAAAGGTTATTTTTCCAAACAGCTATCCATTTTACCCTCCAGGCTCACCCCTCTGTTAAAATGGCATAATCCAGAGTAATGTGAAGCACAGTGGGCTGTTGGCCGATAGGGGGCACTATATGAATGAGAGAAAGAGAAAGCACAGTGCTGTAGCCTACAATAAAATCAGGTAAAGAATGCTGCTGCATGTTCTGTCATTAGGTGTGCTGCAGTCCACCTGCTGAGCTGTTTCATAACAGTATGAAACATGCTCAATGCAGGTTTGTTTCATGTGAGCAATCAAAGGGAAACAAAGACACTGCCATCTCTTTAAAACAATCACCACTGAATATGTTCACAAGGATAAAGACAATTTGCTCACTGATCATTACAGTGGCTACTTTCAATTTGGTAAGATTTAGCCTGGTAGACCTGATAGAGTATATTGCAGTCCAATTTTCACTAATTTCTTCAAGTAAGGGTTGTGTCAAATTTGCCATTGCTTTCTGTCTAGCAGGCCGGTTCACTTATATGGAATAAAGCCAGTATTGTTAATCACAGCTGTGTGTGACAAGTATTGTCTCCCAAGAGAGAGGTTTGTGGTATGACCGCAGCATCAGGTGGAAGCTAGATTAAGTTATTAAACTCCTCAGTCATCTTTATTCAAGAGGTTGGCTGGGTAATGAGTCCAATTACAAACAGGTATTTTTCTTGCTGTTTTTTTACGTCAGTTCATGTTAAAGATTTGAGTACACTCTAGATACAAAGCTGTGTTTTTAATGTAATTCACATATTATTGTTAGACTGCTGCTCAGGACGTGGATCACACTGTCCTTGTTTGACATCAGTCTCACTATCCTGGTATATTTGTTGTTTTTATTCTCAGAGATTGGTGAATGATGTACTCTCCAGCATAACTTCACCCAACTTCCCCCTAAGCAAAGGTTGAATGAGTCAATGACAACAACACAAGAACAAAAAACAGAGAACTGTATATAAAAAGTACAAGAGGTATACAACAAAAGTATACATTTAATTAAAAAAGTAAACCAACATAGCAATGTTAAAACAGCAATATAAGAAAAACTACACAGCAATAGAGTAATACATGTAAAGTGAATATGAATTCAAACTAATAACAGTGACTACAAAGTGGCTAAAATGGAGCAAGATATTTAAAACTAATAGAAATTAGGCTAATTATGCACATAACATTGAAAAACCCGTAATTTTTTAAATTTTAAATAGCCCAAATGTGTATAATAATACAAATGTGGTAGGATACTAAACAATATCTTAATAATAAACCTAATTTCCCGAGTTGCAATGCACTGTTGTTATGTAAGCAGGTTTTGTAACCCCGAACAGTTAGGATGCTCGTGCACTTCCGGAACTTTCGTAATGGCTTTTTGTGCAGAGCGCGTGCAGGGACCATCAGCACCGACCCTCCTCTTTTAGCAAGAAACTGATGAATGAGTGGAAGCGACCGGGCCTGCCTTGCATCTCATTACCACTTCACAAATATTAGCTTTTTCTCTCGGAGGGACTCCGCGCAGACACGGAAGGTGAGCCCCACACCGGGTTTTAATGTCCGCTTGAAAGTGTTTTCTTTCGGTTTTTTCTCTTTCCATTTTGCCTGGGCGTTAATTCAGCCGCAGACAATAGAGGAGCACGCTGCACTTGTGCCCCTCCGCTTCTTCCTGACTGCATTGCTTATACATTCTGCTTCCGTGTTATGAAAGATGCGAGCACGCTGCTTTCTTTTTCGCCTGTTTTCTTTCCTAACCCTGCTGGGGTCTACATAAACGCAGCGGGGCTCACGGAGACCACACCGCCGGGCTGACAGACACCTCTGCGGGGTTAGTATTGCCCAGCTAACTGCAACGAGAGCCTAATGTGTTACCTAACAGTCTGCTAGGCTATGAGGGCAAACTAAAAAAGGGGTCTGGCTTATATAAAGAGTTATGTAAACTGAGGCTTTAAATATACATTCCCATCATCACTCAAATTAGTTAGTTATTTTTAGTTGAATCCCTGAATAAGCTCTGGAAGTCTTTTAAAGCCCATTGGGTTGCAGTTCAAAGGTTAAAGATCAGACAGTGAGCCTAAAGGGTGGCTCCCTGCTCAATAGCACGTTGTATTTGAGGTAATACTCATCCTTATTGGTAGAATTGGTTGTATTTGCAAAGATTTGAGCCAAGTAATAGTAGGACATAAAATGGTCAATGACTTAAAGTGCTGTTAGTTAAATATGTTTTCTGTGTACTCCGACTGAAAGGATTGGAATGTCACCACCACAACTTTAGACAGGTTATCTAAACAGCCAACAGAGATGTGTATCAAGTAGGAGCTCAGGTGTGTGTGTGATCAGCTGATTTACCACTTTCTGGAGAACTAGCTTTCAATGAGCCTGAAATACTGTGCTATACAGACATGAAGTTGAGAGAGTCATGCCCTTTAATCAATACCCCACATGTCTTCTAGTTGTTAATGTTACTTTGCGGGTGACGTCTTCTGTAGGTTTGATTTTTTCCATCTTCATCAAACATACAGAACAATGGAGGGAAATGCTGTTAACTTAATCTTTTGTCAGTGTAAACTCATGCTGGAAACAGTTAGCCTGCTAGCCTAAACATCCCATTACTTCCACTTAGCAATGTAGTTGGGTAGCTTGCTCTGAGTACTTACATTGCAACTAGGTCTACATACTTGACTAAATTTGGACCTAACTTGTAACTTGAGTCGTGCAAACATGGCTTCTAGTTGCAGGGCATTCTGGTCAATTGGTGTTTCAGTGGGTATTCAATAGGCGCTTTCACACCGGAGTACCTTTCCCAGTATAGTTCCGATATAGTTCCGAAAATGTGCTTTCACACCAAAGAAATCCGGAACTAGAACTTAGTTCATGAGAACCTTTTCAGTCCCTGCTAGAGAGCAGGTACTTTCATGATAGAAAAAGGTTCCCATTTCTGATTGGCTGGGCGGATTGCAAACCACGCCCCGTAAAACTCCCAAAAAGTTTTGTGAAGCCGCCATTTTATTTGCTCGCATTAGCATTATTAGCATTAGCCCAGCGCACCAACGGAGAGAGACTAACTTATGGCAACACAAAAAGAAACATGGGAGCGGTGGAGTGATGAGAAGGTTCTGGCGATTTACTTGGAAGGCTTCAGAGTAAATGAAGCCAGTCCCCGACTTCGGGTGGCAGTATACGCCGTGAAGTTGTTTCCGGCCTGCTAGTAAACCCGAAGAAGAAGAAGGAGAAGGTGGTGACGTCAGCATTTGCCTAATCCTCCCTCAGGGACTTATTCCGGTGTGAACGCGATCTGCTCTTTAGTTCATCAGAACTAAAGAGTTCTGATTAACTAAGTACTGGGAACTAAGTACAGCAAAGTACTTGGTGTGAAAGTGCCTTATGTTGACTTTCTGTCTGTATAGCTGTTGAATATACAGTGGGGAAAAAAAGTATTTAGTCAGCCACCAATTGTGCAAGTTCCTGAGAGGCCTGTAATTTTCATCCTAGGTACACTTCAACTATGAGAGACAGAATGGGGGGAAAGAATCCAGGAAATCACATTGTAGGATTTTTAATGAATTAATTGGTAAATTCCTCGGTAAAATAAGTATTTGGTCACCTACAAACAAACAAGATTTCTGGCTCTCACAGACCTGTAACTTCTTCTTTAAGAGCCTCCTCTGTCCTCCACTTGTTAACTGTATTAATGGCACTTGTTTGAACTCGCTATCAGTATAAAAGACACCTGTCCACAACCTCAAACAGTCACACTCCAAACTCCACTATGGCCAAGACCAAAGAGCTGTCAAAGGACACCAGAAACAAAATTGTAGACCTGCACCAGGCTGGGAAGACTGAATCTGCAATAGGTAAGCAGCTTGGTGTGAAGAAATCAACTGTGGGAGCAATTATTAGAAAATGGAAGACATACAAGACCACTGATAATCTCCCTCGATCTGGAGCTCCACGCAAGATCTCACCCTGTGGGGTCAAAATGATCACAAGAACGGTGAGCAAAAATCCCAGAACCACACGGGGGGACCTAGTCAATGACCTGCAGAGAGCTGGGACCAAAGTAACAAAGGCTACCATCAGTAACACACTACGCCGCCAGGGACTCAAATCCTGCAGTGCCAGACGTGTCCCCCTGCTTAAGCCAGTACATGTCCAGGCCCGTCTGAAGTTTGCTAGAGAGCATTTAGATGATCCAGAAGAGGATTGGGAGAATGTCATATGGTCAGATGAAACCAAAATAGAACTTTTTGGTAAAAACTCAACTAGACGTGTTTGGAGGAGAAAGAATGCTGAGTTGCATCCAAAGAACACCATACCTACTGTGAAACATGGCGGTGGAAACATCATGCTTTGGGGCTGTTTTTCTGCAAAGGGACCAGGACGACTGATCCGTGTAAAGGGAAGAATGAATGGGGCCATGTATCGTGAGATTTTGAGTGACAACCTCCTTCCATCAGCAAGGGCATTGAAGATGAAACGTGGCTGGGTCTTTCAGCATGACAATGATCCCTAACACACCGCCCGGGCAACGAAGGAGTGGCTTCGTAAGAAGCATTTCAAGGTCCTGGAGTGGCCTAGCCAGTCTCCAGATCTCAACCCCATAGAAAATCTTTGGAGGGAGTTGAAAGTCTGTGTTGCCCAGCGACAGCCCCAAAACATCACTGCTCTAGAGGAGATCTGCATGGAGGAATGGGCCAAAATACCAGCAACAGTGTGTGAAAACCTTGTGAAGACTTACAGAAAACGTTTGACCTCTGTCATTGCCAACAAAGGGTATATAACAAAGTATTGAGATTAACTTTTGTTATTGACCAAAGACTTCCACCATCATTTGCAAATAAATTCTTTAAAAATCAGACAATGTGATTTTCTGGATTTATTTTTCTCATTTTGTCTCTCATAGTTGAAGTGTACCTAGGATGAAAATGACAGGCCTCTCTCATCTTTTTAAATGGGAGAACTTGCACAATTGGTGGCTGACTAAATACTTTTTTGCCCCACTGTACATGTAAAATGGCAGCTTCTGACAGAAAGCCTTGTTTGATTTTAAAAGACAAAACATTTAGTTAGTTGTTGAGTTTAAGCTTTGGTTGAGTTCTTTGATCCCCTAAAAGTACATTGGTGTGTTTTTACTTGAAACAATGGCTTTGATTTGGCAAAGATGTATCACACTGCAGCTTTCACTGTTGTCTTTTAAATCTGCGGGAGTTTTGTAACCCTGACCAGGCATTTTGGTTCCAAGTCACATAATGTATCACGGTGATCGACCCGTGGCAGGAAGATTATGTTCTAATGGTCTGATTCTCCGGCTTTTCTGTCTGCCTCCGCTGTCAGTGTTGATCCTGAGACTTTCTTTTAGTCTGACCTTGGATCAGGTATCCAGTGAACCACTTCAGCCAGATGCAACCTTAGCTGATGAAACCGTCTCGCTTTCGGTCTCTTCTGTTCAAAACTTTGGGTTATTCTTCAGGCAACTTCAGACGAACGGAGTGAAAAGAGGTTGCATAAAGTGTGTTTACTGTCGTCATTGGGAAAGGTTAGCTTGTTTGTGTGCTTTCTTTAGGTGAAGGTTAGTCTGTAACCTGAAGTTCCAGTATTTTGTTATATACCGTGGACTCATGGGGTGATATGTGTGAAGGTCACAGTACAGTTTTGCTTACATCAGACTGTCTGGAATGGATGATTTGCACTCTTGGCATGCTAAAGCTAGTATTTAGATTAAAGAATGTCAAAGAAATTATAATGCTTCTCGACTTGTTGCATGCTTGAAACAACAGTCAAGGTGTTTGGTTTTGGTCCTGTTTTAGATTATTTTCTGTTTCATTTGAAAAGGATGATCTACTGTGGCCCTCTCCTCTTCACCCTGTAATCACTGCCTCAGTCTGTTCCTGCTACCCAGCTCAGCAGGAGGCAGAGTGCAGGAACAGAGAGCTCACAACAGACAGGAGTGATGGAGGCTACCGCTGATCTCCTTGACGGTTATGCACATTAATGTCTGACTTTATTTAATGTGGTTGTATATGATAGTGGGGGAGTGTGCAAAGCTTGACGGCATGGTTGGAAATATCAATCAGACCTGCAGTGTCCATCCATCCATCCATCTTCTCCCGCTTATCCGTGGTCGGGTCGCGGGGGTAGCAGTTCCAGCAGAGAGCCCCAAACTTTCTTTTCCCTGGCGACATCAACCAGCTCTGACTGGGGGATCCCAAGGCGCTCCCAGGCCAGCGAAGAGATATAATCCCTCCACCTGGTCCTAGGTCTACCCCTTGGTCTCTTCCCAGCTGGACGTGCCTGGAACACCTCCCTAGGGAGGCGCCCAGGTGCATCCTAACTAGGTGCCCGAACCACCTCAACTGGCTCCTTTTCGACGCGAAAGAGGAGCGGCTCAACTCCGAGTCCCTCCCTGATGACCGAACTTCTCACCTTATCCCTAAGGGAGACACCAGCCCACCCTGCGGAGAAAACCCATCTCGGCCGCTTGTATCCGCGATCTCGTTCTTTCGGTCATGACCCATCCTTCATGACCATAGGTGA